CAAGTTTCCCCCTTGAGTAAATTAGACCTACCCCATGTCATCCTTGGATACACTTTGTTGTTGTTCGGTTTGTCTGCTTTAAAGGCTTAATTCAGATGCCCTCAGGCAGCTGTGGCTGAAGGCAGTGGGGGCTGGGAGCTTTTTTCCACCAGAAGGCAGGGAATTTTTAACCCAAAGGTGTGTTGTACTGAGGCACAGCAGGTACCCAGTAATGCTGGGCTTTCAGGGATGAGAGAGCCTGGCTCCCCCACTGACTGTAACACACTCCTATCAGTTATTTGCAGAACTAGGAAAAAGTCCTCAGCATTGGAGGGTTGTGAAGAATGGACTGCAGAAGCAGGAGAGCTCCAAATGTGTTTTTGTTACTAGAATGAGAAAAGCTGTAATAGCAAGGAAATTAAATTATACTTGCCAAAATGTAGTTTACCATCAATGTAAGATTCACCTGCCAGAGGAAAGGAAGTCTTTATCTACCACCTCTATTTGGGGGACTGTTAAAAAATACCCAACCAAAACTCAGCGGCTTTCAAACAAGGGTTTGAATTTGCTGTAATCATCTACAGTGTATCCCCCTGTTCATGGATCTGCCTAGCACTGCTGCAAATTCAAGGTGTGATTGCATCAGCTAATATTATTCCTGCCATTCTGTTTGGTTTGAAATATCACCCGACTCGTTTGGGTTAGATAGGAGATGCAATTGCTTGGAAACCAGTGCACAACTCTAGAAGGGTGCTTTGCTCATTATATTAATCTTTTCCAGTGAAATATCCATGCTGTTCTTATGTTGGATCATGTCATCAGGACCTGCAGAGGGGTGTGCTTTCATTTTCTCCTTCTGTGAACCCCTTGAGAGGTACCAAGGACTTTCTAAGGAACTCGGGTCCTTATGGATTTTCTAAGCCATGGGAAACCTCCAAGAAATAAAAGCTCTTTATGGTTTCTGCACTCACCAGGCACAGGTGCATCTCTCAGCAATTGCAGGAAGTGCATTGAAAGGAAACATGGATGGGCAGCCCTTCTGTGAGATTAACATTCTGTTGGTAAATCTAGGACTCAATGTGTGCTGGGAACTCCAGGGCCATTGCAGACTTGCAGAGGAAATGTCAGCTTCCTGATGACCCACAGGAATTTTGCCTGCTTCTGGCCTGCCTTTCTGATGTCCTAACTCCCAATGAGTGTTTCTTCTCTCTTTTCAAAGGTGAGCATAGTCCTGTCCCAGCATCCTGGGCCTCCTGTGCTGCTGGAGGCAGGGAATAGTGTATACAGCCATCCTCACATGGCTGCCAAGGGAAGAATATGACCTGGTAGCAATAAAACCAGGGGTCTCCTTCCAAGCCTCCCTGTAGACTGAAACAGGCATAGGTATGAGCTGCTAAAGGGAACTAAAAATAGACAGTCTCTTCTCCGAGTAGACCAGGGATCCTGGGAAGAAGAGGCCACATTCTTCATTGGCATCTAAGAGAGTAGGTTGGAGGACGGGAAGGAAGAACAGCTACTAACTAGAAAACAGCCTTGGCATGAGAACAAGTAGACAAAAATAGGCTATGAAAAAATGTGGGGTGCAAATCAGAAACAAGTTTCCTTCTATCAAAGTGCAGTTCTTGAATAACCTGCCAAGAAATTTCCCAATGACTTAAGATGGACTGTGATAAATTAACAAGAGGGACTTTATGACTCACTGTTTGTCATTGCTGGGAAATATGATGATGACTAGGAGATCCCTTCTAGCCCCACATTCCTGCTGGTATGGTAACAGAGGCATCTGTGTAGGGTGCAATAAATGCTGAATCATTGAGTGCTTTATCTAGCTGTCTGGCAGGACAAAGTCCCTTGTATCCACCCTGTCTGCAAGAACCTCCAGGAAAAATAAAATTCTGACATAAACAATTGTGCTCTGGCAGCACAAAGCATACAGCTAAGGATGCCCGAGTTAGAAGAAAACCAGCTCAGCTACAAGCACCTCCACACAGGGGAAAGGTGGTGGCGTGGGTGTGAAAGAAAGGAATCCCACTGTAAACACTGAGAGGTAAACATTCCAAGGTGAATGTGCTCCAGCAGCTTCAATACACAAAGCTAATGAGAGAAAGAAACTCTTGGAACCATGTGGCAGTGTCCCACACTTGTTCAGCCACGTGTGTGCAGGGATGGATCAGTCCATAGGGCATGACCATGTCATGTAGAAAAAAGTTCCTGCAGTTAACATCAACCACTAAGCCATCCACAGTTCTTTTGATGGTATTTTTTTCCTGTCTCCATGGACCTCCCCAAGGCCAGCAATCAGGATGCAGCTTACACTGATGGGTTTGGTGCCTCCCAACTCGACAGCCACAGCTTTGCTGCTCTGGCTGCAAATGCAGATCTTGGGGTAACAGCAGCAGCTGGCAATTCAGCAGTGCAGAGCTGGAGGTAGAGGCCAAGAAGACAGCCCTGAGAAACTGGACAAGGTAAGAGATAGGCCTGGCTCAGGAGAGCAACACTGCTCAGGAGGAGAGCACTTCTCCACAGCCCTCATGGCCACCAGACTCAAGGAAGACTTCTCTGGAGCTTCTTCCAGACCTGTGGAAATCATGTACAGATGTGGGTGCTCCCTTACCTCCTCAAAAACCTGCAGCACAGCCTACTTAGAGTCATAGGGCCCCTGACTTCTGCTCCCCACTGTGCCACAGGAATGTCTCCACACAAATGTGGCACCACTGTACAGCCACTCTATCCAGGGATTGCATGGTCTGGTTACTCTAGGCAAAGGACACCAGAAGGTTCTCTCTCTTGCAGTACTTTCAAATACTCATTATTTCTCATAACTGCATCCAGTATCAAAGATCAGAGCAAGAGGTTCCCAGAGATTCCAGCTGCTAATGCCAACACGAGGCAGTGGGGAAACTTCCACGCCAATGGTCAGAACTCCGAAACCAGAGAGCCTGTCATAATCACTCTCTGCCATAGCTAACAAAGCTCTTTTCATCCTTTTGCCTTTTATTTTCTGGTTTTTTTTACCAGGCAGCTGAATCACAATCAAGATCAATTTTGTTATTCCCTAAGCAGTAGCAAACTGATGGGTAACAGAGGCAGACTGAGCCATGGCAGGTGGTTATGGCACAAGAGCCTCAAGGCTTCCTTGCCTTCCTGCCTCTTACCAAGGTTCAACAAGCAGGCATGGAGAGACATCTCATCCTGGCTGTGACATGACCCCCTAAACAGCCATCAGCTAGGAAAGGGCTCAAAACTGGACACAAGATTCGAGGTATGACCTCACCAATGCTGAATGATCACTGCCCTGGTGCTGCTGGGCACACTGTTTATGACACAAACCACAGTGCTCTTGGCCTTCTTAGTAGGTGCATCCACAGGCTATGCAGTTTTCAAGTGGTGGCTGCTGGTCACTACACAAAAAGCAACGACCTCAAATTCCAGCAGTGAGTTTCCAAACAAACCCTAGGTTCAAAGTCCTCTGGAGGGTTTTTCTGCATTCATTAGTGGATTTAATTTTGGTATCAGCCACTTCCAGGTGGGTTCATGGTTGATCATTTCCTTTGACTGTGCTGCAGTATTTCCCAGCCCCAGAGCAAAGTGCTATTCTAAACACGTTTGGGGGTGGGGAGAGGCTTTGACCCATATTTAATAGGGTCCCTAGAACGTGCTTGTCTGCCCTCTTGTCCCAGCGTGGCCATGCCGTGGATGTACTTGATGTTTGCCAGCACACCGGGCGTGCCAGCAGCAGCATCTGCTGTGAGCGCTGAAGAACTGCAGGGGGCTGGCAGGCGATGGGAACAGAGATCTCGAGTCCCACTGCAGGGAGCCTCCGGGCTCCTGGGTTTGCCCTGCACAAGCAGGGGACCCTCCCAGTCAGTAGGTTTCTCCCAGGCCAGAGACGTAAGTGCTCAGACAGCCGTAAAAGAAAAACTGAAAGAGAACGGTTTATATTAGCAAAAAGTGATGACCAAAAAAAAAAATTACACTCTGTCTGAGGTGTTTCCATTTTAAAAGCAAACAGGAGCTGTGGGAATATTGTTCCTTATAAGATTACTAAGTTTGGTGATTTGCCCTACATGCAAGCTTGTATGTAAACTGCAGGGGCAACAGGGGAAAAAAATGTGACATCAGTGAAGGGAGAGAAAAGTGAGGGATTTTACCATCATAAAGGGTAGTGGAGAGGGCAGTGCTAACATGCTTTGTTCACAACCAGGTCTGGGATTCCTCTGACACCTGCTCTTTTAATCAAGCCTTTCTCCAGAAAGTTTATATTGCACTGGGCATCAGGTCTCAGCATCCTGAACTCCTGTGGAAGCAATGATAAGCTCAAATGCCATGACAAATATCCCCAGAAAGGCACACGCACAGAGTTTACTGTTCTTGGTAAAAGAACAGATAAAAATTAAACAGAGCATATTAATTTAAACAAACCTTATTCCAGACTACATCATTTATACAAAGAGAGATGGAAGGGCACAAGACCCAGAATCAAGGTAAAATAAGAAACCCCTTTTCAGATCCTCCTGTACAATGGCTAGCTTCAGCACTGACCTGAGTCTCACCTATAACTATGCACCTGAAAAACACAAAATGCAAAGACACCTCTATGGACACCACATTTGGACTCCATTTTCTCATTCACAGACTACAAAAAACCCACCAAAACCCAAAAGTTTGCGGTGCACACCCCATTCCAAAGTCCTTGCTTTGCCTGGAAGCAGCCCACCCCAGGTGAGTGGCAGCCTGGAACCACTTCTGGCGTGTCTCCTATTCCAAGCTGGAGGTGATGCCAGTGGGATGCTCTGCTTGGGCAGCCTCAGGGGAAGGAGTCCTCTGTTGGTCCATATGGAGCAGTGTGCAAGAAGCAGTGGTTGTTTCTGAGGCAGAATACTGCTCCCTGCCAGCCTGAATCATGCAGGTCTCACACGGAAAGCTCTCCGAGGAGATGAAGTTTGGGCTCTCACAGACCCCCAGCCCCGGTTTCTCCACTGCTGGCACCAGGACAGACAGAACTGCCGGCTACCTGCGGAACAGAGGCAGCTGCCCAGAGTAGCAAGGACAAGGCCACCACCACCTCCGTGAGTCAACCAACCCCCTCTCAGCCAAACTCAGGCTGCAGTCATGGCTGACCAGGCTGGGGCTGACACTGCAAATCAGAACGGGGCAAGGTTTATTCCCAATCCCCAAATTCTAGAACAAGGCACATTCCCCAGAGGGATGTGTGGCTTCGACATTGCTGAAAACACACAATGTTTTGGGGGTGGGAGGGCACTTGCCTGTGGGGCAGGGGTGCTCCCAGTCACACAAAAGTGGGTTTCAGATCATCTTTGAAATTCACCACAGGCTGGGGCCCGCCATGGTGCTCTGTCTGGTGATCCTTGCAGTCACTGGGCTCTGTGTCCGTGTCCGTGCTGCTGCTGTCTAGGGAGCCACGTGGGCTCTGGAAGCAAACCTCGCAGCAGGGTCGGTGGCAGCCAAGAAACATCTCCTCAGAGCTGCTGCTGCTGGAGTCAGAGTCCGGGTAATAGTACAGTGAGCGCAGGGAGGGCTCAGCAGGTCTCCTCAGGGTGCCCTGCCACCGCTGCTGCTCCTGCGGGATGCACGATGAAGCACACTGGGACACGGGCCATCCCAGCCACCCCTCTAGCTGGAGGCTGGCCTCCCTTGGGATGGTTGGAGAGGATGGTGCTGGAAGGTGAAGGAGCCCTCTGGCAGCCATCTTCCCTCCCGTTCCCAGGGAGCTATGTGCTGGCTCCCCACGAACCCAGCTGCCAACCTCCTTTGACTTGCTGATGGAACGAGGGGATACATGTCCAGGGAAGCGTGTGGGGGCAGGGGGCAATGGGATCCTCTGACAATGCCTTGCTAAGTAGGGGCTGAGAGGCGTGTGGATGCTTGGATAGCCCTCTTGGCCCACCCGTGTTTCTCCCTGCTTGCCTGAAGTGCCTCGGTTGCCAAGTGGGGGTCCTGCAGATAAGGCTGGGCTGTAGTTTTTGCCATCCAGGCTTAACTCTTGCAAGATTTCCCATAGCTTCTCGCTGTTTACATAGCTGACTTTGGGGGACGACTCCCAGGCTACACCGGCTGAATTGTCCTGACCTGGCAACTGCTCTGGAAGCTGCCTCTGCACTGCAGGTGTCCCACACTCCTGGACATCTTTCAGGCTAACATCAATGCTGTCCTCTGTATTAAAAAGCAGTACCTGGGAGCAAACAGGCTCCTGGGCTGCATGTTTCTGGAGGGTCTGAGCATTGCTGCCAAGAGGTGATGAACCCAGCAAGCAGGGGGGCAGCCACCCATCCCTCTCTGGATCCAGGGGGCAGCAGTCCCCTGGCTGCCCTGAGTTCCAGGCACAGGGAGCTGCTGGCAGCGCACGGGGGTCACAGCCACTCTCCGCAGACATCAGCCTCATCAGCTTCTCCTTGGCGTTGCTCACTTGCTCCTGCAGGCTTTCGATCACGGCATTTTTCTGTGTCAAGCAAATAAGCCTGTCAATTATGGGGTGGGCAGAGGAGGAAAATGCTGCCAATTTGAAAGCAGGCACTGCCAGAAAACAAATCACCCCTCTCTGCATGGCAAGAGCCACAGTGGCAGCCCGTGTGACCTCAGCCTCCCCTGCAGCCCCCAGATATGTGTGTGGGAAGGGGTGCACTGGGCAGGCAGCTTTTCAGGCTGGGGTGTTCCCATGCAGTGCAGGTGAGGGAGCAGGAGGCTGGAGGCTTTTCTGAGACAGAGCATCTCCCCTCTAAATTAACCATGTTTGGCAAGGGTGTTGTATACAGGCTATCTTGCACTCCCCTCCCTACAGAATTTTTTTAAGCCCTCTAAATTATGCCTGAATTGTGGTGCTTTGGAGTGTGACAAAACAAAGCAGGTCTTCCCTTCAGGAAGGAAGGGGCTGGTGAGAGATCACCAGTGTGGACAAAGGGCTTCCCACCCAGCAAAGCCTTCAGCCCACAAAAGGGAAGGGGAGAAGCTGGAGGAGAGGATCCAGCAGAGCCCCGTACCTCGGTGAGCAGCTGCTTCATAGAGTTTTTCTCCCCTATGAGCTGGTAGAGCTGCTCCTCGCTGTACACTGAGCGGCAGCTCCTGCTTGGGCTGGTGAAATATTTTGCCATGTGGCTCATGGTTTGGCTTTCTTCTTCAAAGGCTTTCCACTGCTTGAGCTGGGGAGTAGAAGAGGGTGTTATCTACAGAGCCCCAGCCAACACAGCAGGAGGCAGGCACAGCTCAAGCTCCAAAGAGACAAAGGGATGGAGAGGGCAAGACAAAGGCAAGGTGTGACAGGGGAGCAGAGACAGCTGGCCAGAGATGGCTGGCCGAGGGGCTGCAATGTCACTTGGAGCCTCTCACCCATCTGAGTCCTACCTTGTTCCTGGCTCCAGCTTTTATGCAGGAGAAGGTCAGTACCTGGCTGCACTGAGACTGCTGAGCAGACTGTAAAAGCCCCCTCTCTCTTCTCCCCACTCCCTGACTCCATGACAGACAAAGATAGTGTCATGCATGCCCCCTTATCCCTGAATCACTGGTGACAAGCTGAAAAACAGCAATGCTTACTATCTGTTTTCTCATTTAATGGCTGCCTGGAAGCCTTGTGCAGTCCAGCTTCAGCTCTTTACTGATCTCAGATGAGCCAAAGAAAAACAAGCCCATTAGGAAAAACAAGATAATAAATTAAAAGATCCAAGTTAAATAAAATGTTCAAGGGCCACGGGCTCCCACAGAAAAATGGTACAGGGAGAGTGCAAGTACAGCTCATCAGCTTCTCCACCCTCAGTCCAAGAGACCTGGTGTTTGGCAGAGCATCAGCAGCAGGCTCACCAGTGGAGGTTTGTATCCTTGCCCAAGCCTAAGGGCTTGGGGGTCTTCAGTTACATTTCCTCAACTGGGGCAGGAGGGGACATCTGGAAATCATCCCAACTGCCCTGCTCATGCAATGTCAGATGGAGCAGCCTGCTCATGACTGTGTCCAACTGGGCCTTGAGTATCTCTAAGGATGAAGACTCCACAACCTCTCTGGGGATTCTGCTGCAGCACTTTACAGCTTTCACAGAAAAAATTCCAGCCTTTTCCTTATGCTTAAATATAATTTCCTGTGTTTCAGTTTGTGCCCATTGTCCCCTGTTCTGTCAGTGGATACCACTGAGCTCACTCCCCCTTCTCTATTCCTCCCCCATCGATATTTATATACATTACTGAGATCCCCTGAGCCCTCCCTTGCACAGATGTGCTTTCATGAGCTTCACTTCTTCTTCCCTTTCTCACCTCATGTCCTTGAGCCCAAACATCCCTCCAAACATTCAACTGAGTAAATATGTGTTTCCTCTCCCTCTAACAATGGGAGCATTATTCCCACTAACGTGGTGGCTAGGCACACCAAGCTGCTCCTGGAGGATACAGGAAGCAGAAGTGCCTCACCTCATCACCACAAAAGGCTTCCTTTAAACACCTCCGCCTCCTCCACCTCCTCGCTTGTGGCAAAGCCCAGCTTCCTTCTCCAAAAGTGCAGAGGAGGACAGCCTCCCCTGGGGACCACCAGCAGCAAAGAAGTCTCTGAGAGTGGCTGGGCCATCTGGATGGTTTGCACTGGCTCCATCCCTGCCAGTGGCAGAAGCTCCTGGTGCGAGTGGGTATGTGAGGTTTGAGGAAAGGACAACTGCGCAAGGGACAGATCCCACCACCTACATGGAGCGGGAGGAGGAAGAGGCCAGTGGCTGCCTTGCCTCATGTGTGCTGTCTTCATGGCTGTCACCTGTGGCATGTTCTGGCAGGAGGGTTTCTGAGCAGCAGTGCTGCACTCCTAAGAGACTTTCCAGAACATAAGGGGGACAAGGGACAAGAAAGCTGGAGATGGATATTTTACAAAGACACAGTGATAGGACAAAGGAGAATGCCTTTAAACTGAAAGATTAGATACAAGGAAGAAATTCTTCACTACGAGAGTGGTGAGACCCTGGAACAGGCTTGCCCAGGGAACCTGCAGATGGCCCAGTCCCTAGAAATGTTTAAGGTCAGGGTGAATGGCACTTCAAGGAACCTGGTCTGGTGACAGCTTCCCTGAGCACAGCAGGGGTGTTGGAACTAAATGATCTTTAGGTCTCTTCCAATACAAACAATTCTGTGATTCTTTGAGACTCAGGGAACTTGCTTGGGGAAGCAGAACCGCCAGGGTGGGTGGGGTGGGGCTTGGAGAATGAGCTGGGCAAGTAAGTCGAAACATTTGGGGAAAAAAAGCAGGAAAGTGAGTGCACTGATGCCCACAGCTGCTATTGTTAAAATGTGCCTGTTTCCAGCCAAGTGACAGGACAGAGGTGGCAGCATACCTGTGGGACAAAGATGAAGCAGTTGATCGTGGTTGTACACACAAAGATGCCTCCAGAGGTAAAACCAAACAGCAAATTGTGCCAAGTACGGAAGAAACGGTGAACTAAGCAGATGGTGCCAGCAGCCAGGAAAATGAGGTTGACCCCAACGATGAGTGTCAAGGACTGGTTGACCGGTGAGGAGCTGACATTGTCAGTCAGACCAGCCAAGTAGGTCCCATATAGCAGGAGGATACTCTGGAAGCAGAAAAAAAAGAAGTTTCCAGAATATGGAAAATTACAGCCCCCAACTCAAACCAAGCCCAGTGTGTTACAGAAATGACACAGAAGGAAAGACATTTACACCTATTTTGACTTTGAAGAATTAAGTAGGAAAAGAAGTATTTTATTTACATTTTATGCTTATTTATAGAATTTTAACAATGATCATGGATTGGCCAGTGAGGATAATACCTCCTGGCCCCATAGATCCCATCAATAGTCTATTAATTTTCTCTTCCTCCAAAGAGGAATGCAAAATATCCATTATTTACAAGAAAGAGAGTGAGAAACTGTAAAAAGAATTTGTCAACAATCAGAAGGCTGAAACACAAGAGCAACACCAGTGAGCTCAGATACACTCAGCACAATCCTAATTAATGCTCCTTGATCTGTAATGCAGACCTTGAGCGCGTGGTGGTGATGCCACAGCAAACACCCGGCATGCTGCTGCAGGCCAGGAGTGGGGCTGGGTACACAGGTGTTGGGGGTTGAATTTTTCCTTTTTTCTTTCTGTGGAATTTTTTCCCATTGTTATGCTAAGTATTTGTGGCTACACCCTAGACAGTAAGAGTTTCTCTCGAAGGGGGTAGGGAGAGGGGGAACACTGAAAAATGAGAGGTGGGGCAGGGGCCTGCTCTCTCTGGCTCTCTCGCTTACTCGTGGAGTCAGAAGAAGACGGCCGGTGCTGCTACCTAGCGCCCTTCCCGCAATCCCAACGCTGGGAGCCACATTCCCTGCTGTCAGACACCGCTCTGCTGCTCTCCCACTTCATCCTACTGCCTCCGGACACTGTGCCGAGCACCACGACCGACACCGTGAGGGGGGAGTGGCTCCTCCATCCCTCTCACCCCTGGGCCGCTGCCGCCATCACCCAGCCCCTTCAGCTGCGCGGGACCTGCCCTGCCCACAGCACCGGGAACTGAGCACAGGGAGAGGGCCTTGGCAAAAAAAGGGACTGGAACTGAGCTATACTGTTCTGTTTTGTTGTCAATTTTTATAGCTGTTGTTGTTTCTGCTGTTTGCCTTGTTAGATATATTAGTAAAGAACTGTTATTCCTATCCCCATCTTTTGCCTGAGAGACCCTGATTCAAAAATTATAATAATTGGAAGGGAGGGGGTTGCACTCTCCAGCTCAGGGAAGGGGCTCTTGCCTTTTTCTTAGCAAATACCTGCCTTTCAAACCAAGACAACAGGGCAGGAGTGAGGGCACTGGTGGGCACAGGAGGTCCCAAACAAACAGCAAGAAGAATCAGGAGTCAGAGGTCAGCAGGTGCTGCTACAGAGCAAGGGATGGCTAGGAGAAATTGTGAAAACTGCCCCTTAGGCAGCCTGGAGCAGGAGAAGCAAAGGCAGATGTCCCTGCAGGGATGCAGCAGTAGGTGCCATCAAGGAGCAACAGCATACCTCTGAAGGAGCAGGAAAGATATCCAGAAGGAATTCAGAGAAGAAGGCAAGGAGAAATGGAGGTTTAGACTGGAGGGAAGAGGATGTACTTGGTGCTTCTTTAAATAGCAATAATCCAGGAAACTACCAGGTACAATTCTTTTCCCTTCCCTTTGCTGTTTCCTGACTCCAGCAGCAGGGAAGGGCACTACTGGTCTGTACACAGAAGCTCTCCTTGCCTCCGAGCAGAGCAGTTGTTTCAGAGCAGGCTGCCTCACCACCCTGCTCCTCAAGGGTCTTATGCATGTATTTTTCCAGGGTGCTCAGGATAGAACTACCCAGCAGTTTAAGCCGCTCCTTCCCTAGGTGACACTAGCAGGAAACACTAAGTATTTTTTGCCTGCCTCCATAGATCTGAGCATGGTCTGCCTTTAGGATCATTTGGAAATACCATCTAACAAAGTCCCAGCTCCTGCAAGGACCTGGAATACAAGGAATATGACCTACATTAATCCTGTGTCACTCAGTAATTGTCAGCCTTTTACTAAGAGTCATTGTTATTTGGGCATAAACAAGTGCTTTGTGATGCGAGAGGCAGATATTTTTTAGACCCTTCTGCACCCCTTTGTTCTGTGGCTGGTTGATGACTGTGATGGCCGCTGCCAGGGTTAAGGTCTGGAGGGACACAAGCAAGAGAGGTTCATGTGCAGATCTCTGGTGAGACTTCCAGCTTCAGAGCTTTATAAAAAGTCTCAGGGTGAGGTTCTAAGAGTGAAACCTGCCTTGCTAGGAACTGGGTTGGCACCTGACCCTGCTTTGTAGTATCTGCACTGGATCCCAACCATGTGCACCATGAGGCACCTCCAAACAGCCTGAAGGCAAGCCAACCCCTAATCCCTGAGCAGGAAAAAAAAAAAGCACCAAAGTCCCGCTTAAATTCATACATCTGTCTGGGACACAGACAACAGCGCTGCCATCTCATAAACTAGGACTCTCAATAAGCACAGGAATAAGTGGCTTGTTTGTTTTAAACTTGAGCAGAGGACTTTGCTCCTAATTCCAGGCATGTCCTTGGCAAGTCATTTCTATTGATTGCTCTGTGCCAGTAAAACCAGGATAATACACTGTCTTCCCAAAGGCCTGAACACATTAATGCTTCGGATGCTAAGAAGTGCTATGTACGCAGAGATTAAGCCTACTGTCACGTTAGTGTAAATCCAGACTAACTCCAGAGAAACCACCAAGGAAATACTCCATGACCCCCAGTAACCCGGAAGGAACAGGGCCAGATTCAATGCAACATTAAAAAGATTACCTGGAACTGATAATGGGGATGTTTTATTTCCAAAAGGATTTTGTAAGAGCTGTAGGCAGAGACATTACCTCTCTAAACCCTAACACAAACTGCAGACAAAATCAGAGGTGGAGACACAGCACTGAAAGCCCAGGTAATGCCTCCATTCCCTAACACCAAAGGACTTTTATGGACAGTCCAGATTAATGTCCTTGAAATTAAATGTAGAAGGACTTGGCTATGTTGTGAGGTCCCTTTCTGCTCTTTTTACTAGGATTCTGGGTAGATGGTCAGTGAGTGTTAAATTATAGTGAATCACAAAGGAAGTGCCTGTGCTGCACACAAAATTAAGCCATTCCCAAAAAGAGGCTGTGATCTCACAAGTCTCATCAACATCAGCTTTCTGAAATGTGTCCAGCCTCTGTCATACCAGAGAGACATGAGACCACAGGTAATTACAGTGATAATTATACCAACATAGTTACATCAGTATTAACTAATAATGCTGGAAAAAGACTGGCCATGTGCAGAGATTCATCAGTGAAAGTGCACCTCAGAGGTATAATTAACCTGATAAGCATCCTGTAAAGGTGGGGACCAAGCACTTGTCATCAGCACATCCTTGGTTTGAAGTCACAGGACTCAGGGGCTGAGCCACCTGGTGTGCCTTGGCAGTGGCCATTCATTGGAGCCTTTAGGGAAGGAATGTGACATAAATATGTCACAAGATGTGAGTTTCAAGAAGTGGGATGGATGAAGCTCAGGGGGTTGCTGGGAGAGATCTAGAGAGACTGTATGTGAACATAAAGGAGATGGTGAGGCAAGGAGAAAGCAGCTAGCAGGGTTTTCATCCTTCCCAAGATGGGAAGGGCTGGAAACAGGAGGGCTTACGAGATGAACAGGAGTAGCCAGGATCTGCAGTGGGCATGTAGCTTGGGAGGGCAGTAAAATGACAAATGCTGTGAAACAGTTTAGGCTGAAAGAAAGGGAGGACGTGAGATACAATGCAAGAAGCATTCAAGAGGTTACATACCTTAAACCCTAAAATTAGAACGAGCCAAAGATCAGAATAGAGTGATGCACAGGACTGGACCCGGCTCACGGAGCATGTCATGCCTTTCTCTGTCGCCTACAAGGCAAGGGAAAAGCAGAAGTGAAGGCTGCAGCCTGGCACAGACCAGTGGGAAGATGCATCTAAGCTGGTCTCCTCTGTAAATTTCTGAAAGGAGAGGTCAAAGCTGGTGCTACCAAGGGCAGAGGCTTAAAGCGAGAAGATTTTGGCAATCTGCTGCCAACAGGGCCGGTTAAACATTTCTCTAAAGCAGACACCTAGGAGCCCTCCTGTGTCATGCAAGTGATCTGCACAAACCTGGAAATTTTGCAGTGGACTCTCACCTCTGTAATAGACCAGACATAAACCAAATCCAGGTGCCCAGAAGGTTTTCTGCCTCGTTTTTCTTTCTGTTGTTTATCAAAGACCATCTCCAAATGCCTGGCCACCCATCAACTCTGTCCACAGAGCTCAGATAGGACACAGCAAAACCCTGCACCACCCCTCTTCATCCTTTTACCCGCAGTGAGACGCTGAGGCTTCGGAAACACTGGACTGGGTCAGAGAACACCCATGTCAAGAGCAAGACAGTGTCTACCAGCACCAATGCTGCCACCATCACCAGCAACTGCAGGTCTTTGATAATCTGCAAACACGCAAGAAGTAAAAGTTACTATGGGGAACAAATGGACACCCATGACCTCCATCCCCCTTGGGTCCCTTTCTGTTGTTTCTTTCGAGTGACACGTCCAACCTACTACTTCACCCAGAGAGGTGTCTAGCACCTACATTTGAGCTGGCCACAAGATCTCTGTTTTCAACTCCCAAATTCTTGAAGACTTAATCAGGCTTGAAGCCAGGTATAAACCCTGCTTGATGGTGTGGATAGCAGGTAAATGCTATGACAGAAAACAGTTCTTCCAAAACAAGACTATCATCCCTTATGACCATATCACCAGCAGAGACATAAAGGGCAGAGAAAAACACCTGGTAGGATCATCATTTTGCAAGTTTAACACAGATCCCAACATGAAACAAGAGCCCTTGTTGGTACCCAGTTCCCCTGCAAATCCTCTTGTCCCATCTTTCATCTGAGACCTACTTTTGTCACTGCTAGAAAGTGACCACTGAAAGTTGCAAGTGTGCTTTTTTTGTGCATGAATTTATCATTTCGCTCCCAGTTGCTGAATCCCCATCCTTAAGTGCTGCAGAGGAGTACCCAGCACGCCCTTCCTGCCTTCAAGAGCAGATTGGATCCATCTGGGGATGGCCCCACATCACATGCTTTTGAGGACACCTGGTTTATTTTCATCCCACAAAAACAACCAGCCCACACCTGAACACAAACACTGATGTGTAGCATAATGAAGGCATGTGGCCAATGTAAAATGAGAACATTGCTCAGTGGTGGGGCTGGGACTCCACTGGGGAAGAGGCAGCCTGGCAGGGCACCCACTTGCCTGTAGAGTGGAAAAGCTCCTACCTCACTGTGCAGGAATAAATGAAGGGCCCATGCCCAGCCAGGTGCGAAACCAGACCTGTGATTGTGGCATCCATCCCTGTCATGTGCCAGTTTTGTCTGCTATCCCACACTTGTTTGGGACTTGCTGGTGTTTGCCCTCCATGGAAAGTCTGCCACCCTCTCTTCACACCTCAAGTGCTGGGTACTCACCACCCGCTTGTCTGGCACCCGTTGGGTGAACACCTTGTAGAGCCGCCAGCTCTTCCCCAGGACAGGGCCGAATACCAGAGAGGTCCCCACGCACAGCAGGCACAGCCTCACCTGCCAGGGGGTCCAGAGGGAGGGGGAAAGCTGGGCTGTGGCTTTCACATATGCAAAAGGCAACCAGACATTTTCTGTTGGAATGGCCTTTGCTGTTTTGCAAACCACATCTGCACTGAGGAAGGGATTCGAGGCAGGTGCCCAGGGGACAGTCCTGCAGGCAGGCAGGCTGCTGGGCTTGTAGAAGTGCAACAGGCAGAGGAGAGCACAAAGGAAGATGGGATCCTCCACACAGCCACCACTGCCTGACACAGCACAGGTGCTGTGAGGCTGTGGGTGAGTTTTTTGGCTGCAGAGCAGATCTTCATCAAAACACTCACCTGAATAAGCTTTTCCATTGAGTCTCCAGATGTCAGGCTCTGCTCCTGAATCCCAAAGAGGTAAGCACTTGTGTAAGTCAAGCCACTGCCCAGCAGGGTCACAATGTTGAGATTGGGGCTGGACATCTTCACAATCCTCCAGGAAACAAAGCAGGGAATTTGGTGAGCATCATGACCTGGCAGCACAAGGGTGAGGCCCCTTACAGGGATGATGACAGTCACAAGGGATGCTGACATACTGTCCACCCCCAGCCTGTGCTGTTCACTGCTGCTCCAAAAGTTCAGCCACTACTCCATGGTCCCATTCTCTTCCTTTTCTTACTGGAGTGCTTCACAATCCTTTAAGTATTCATTTAGCCCCATTCCAGCATTTCTGCTGCAGAGGGGCAGAGGTGGAAAACCACACCAACACAGCCCAGGGTGAAGCAGTAAGCTTTGGGTGCAAGAGCTATATGTGCTCCCAGGAACAGGCCCTTCCCACTACTCCTTCCACTGAGGAGATAACCTCTACACTCAGTGCAGTCTCAACTTCAGGAAGCCACCAGCCACGCTCAGGTTACAGTCTCCCCTCTGTAATTTCATCTCATCACTCATAATCCTGTAACTGTATTCAGGGAGGGGAGAATCGACCCACTAATCTCTCATGACCTGTCACCCTTCCCCAGCAAGCCCACTGAGTGAAAGCTGTATCTCCTGCCATCCCCCCAATAGCTCTGCCCCTTTGACCTGTTACCAACTCATTACTTTTCTCTATCCTTGAGCTCCTTCCTGGCTTGCTGTCTTGTAGTCACAAAGCCTGGGGTTCAACCTGTCTCTCTCCCTCCCTGGCTTCCTCACCATGTCTCAGCCCTTGAAGAAAGATATTCACCAGCTCATGCTCTCAGCTGCAGCTGAGAAAGGTCTCCTCTGCCCTCTCAGGCTCAGGAGGTAGACCAGTATTTATTTACTGCAGAGCAAATAAATAGCACACATTCATTACAGCACGCTCCGAGAACATCAATTCAAGTGGCCACTGAACTCACCAGCACTCAGTAAATGAAGTGCTTCAGACTGGGATGCAGTTGGGATGCAATTGGGATGCAGGTCATGCAGCTGCTGCAGCGCAACACAAACCCTTATGACCCTCCTGACTGCACACTGGTTGTCAGGAGCATTAAATTCCTTAAAGCCACTAGAGAAGTCAAACAACATCAGTCTAGGCTGCACTCAAATGTATGTCTCTGTGCAAAACAATGGCACGTGGAGAGCAAAGGCTTTGCCAGGTGAAGCCTGCGAGAGGGATGTATCCCTGGAGGAGGAAGCAGTTGAGATACCAAGGGACCAATGACACTGAGGAGAAGGTGGCAAAGAGGCAGCAGAGACATCCAGAATTGCTGAGGAAGGCTCAGCACTGGCTGAGACAGGTTGAGCTATGGGGAACTGCCAAGCCTTCTCCTGGATTTATGCTGCCTTCAGGGGAGCAAGACTTTTTATCTTCTCTGTGCAGACTGAACAGCACCAAAAAAAGTCTACACTTCACCACCAGCTTCTCTCACCATGTCATGATGGACATAATGTTCCCCGCCAATATGAGCAACCACCAAGAACAAAAATGGTTTATCAATATCTTCAAAGTATGAGTGGCCCAACAGCAGGAAGGTCATGACATACTGTGGGGAGTTTGATGGCCTTGCTATGGAGCTGTGCTGCTCAGAGCGATGCTCTCAAGCATGTGGAGCAGAAATGAGCTCTCTTTTTGCCCACTCCTGTTGATGGTTTTATTGAGTAGCACCTCCAGGATGAGACCGTGTATCACTGTCTGTGCCAGAGGGCACCCACAAAGTCATAGAATCATTAAGGTTGGAAAAGACCTCCAAGACCATCAAGTGCAACCTTCGACCAACTGTTACCACGAGAACTAAACCATAGCACTAAGTGCCACATCCAGTCTTGTATACTTCCTGAGATGGTTACTCCACCACTTCCCTGGGCAGCCTGTTCCAATGTTTGACAACCTTTTTGGTGAAAAATTCCTGGTACCCAACCTGAACCTCCCCCGATGCATTTACCGAGACTATTTCCTTTCATCCTGTCTACAGCTCCCTGCCTTGAGGAGGAAAGGTGCAGTCCAAACAGGACTCCACAGTCCAAACTGTCTCCACTAGTGATCAAAATTCTGGCAACATCCCTGGCATTACCCTTGCTTGCCCTGTGCTGCTCCTTCAAGCTTACACCCTCCTGATCCTTAGCTGGTCACCAGATCAGAGCTTGGTCCTGAAGGAGCCTGACTCTGCTACTCCAGCTCAGGGGACATCTCCTAGGAGAAGAGGGATGCCCTTACCTGTTTTTCCTGAAGCGAATTGTGAAGATGAGAAAGAAGAGTGCTAACAGGACTCCTCCAGTCAGGAATGTCCACATAACTCCCAGGAGACCAGCAGAGAAAGATAGGGAACTCTTCATACTGCGGTCAAAAGACGTCTGCAGGAAGCAAAAGGGATAAGGAAGAAAAGGACATTGCTGGGGCTCTTAGCAAGGGAGGTCCCTACTTCAGCATGATCACTCCCACAGTTATCCTGCTCAGCCACAAACCATAGCTCCCAGTAAGAAGACACCAGACCAAGTCCTGCAGGTAGGGTCACTGAGATGTATGTGGACAGGATGTGTGCTGTCACTTGCTGAGTGCTCAGGAGGACATGGCAGTCCAAGAGGCCTCTCCTTATGGCCAACTAGCCAAATCCATAATGAAGCTGTACAAGTCATTCATAAACCTCAGGCAGCCTGGCCTCTGGGACATGGGAACATGGACACTGGTTCCCCACTGTCTTCTGGAAAGAAATCTTTGGACAAAGGCCACGTGGTGCCCCAGTTGGTACCACGCTTCTTTAGATGCTTCTTGGCTCCCAGCCTTACCCCTCCCTGCAGCAGACAACTGACCAGCTGGCAGACATGACTGGGAGCCAGCAGCAGAGCTGCCAGTCAGTGCAGGAACACAGCAAAGGGAGTGTGACAGTGTTTTTCAGAGGTGGTGACACACGGAGCTGGAATCCACCTATCGCCCAGCTGGCTGGAAATCAACTTGGTCCCTGGCAGACATCAGCTGAGAACTGGCTTTTGAGGGACACTCCCAAAGCGAGTATGAGGGAGGCACCTCTCTTCTTACACACAAACCACCTTATGGGCTTAAATATCCATTTAAAAATATTCTCTGCTATCTCCTTATTAAAATAAAATGGATAAAATGATCCTAGGCAAAACAAGAAACCTACTTCTGCTGCTGTTCTAAAATGCTCCAGCATTTTTAACAGGGTGTGCATGTGTGGGTTACTGACTTCTTTTTTTCCATTAAAAAAGCATCGCTTTTATAAAAGTGCTGGCACATCCCCTTTAAGGGGGGGTTTGAGCTGGGATCACACACCTCACTAACTTCTTTGGTGCTGAGTCCTTTCTCAGGTATTCCTATATCCAATTTCTATTGCAGAAGACTACTTTTGCTGACAGTTGACACTGCCCCAAACTCCCAAATTTTACTTCAAGGTCTGAGCTGTTTCTGCTTCCAACCTTGCTAGAAATAAATCTTCAGGCAGAAGAAAGGCATTAGTTTAGAGCCAATGCATCATGTCCCTCTTCCCCAGCCAGGCTTTTTCTCCTCTAGCTGAGCAAGAACAAGGCACAACTTGCAGAATTAAAGCCACCTCATAATTCTTGAAACAAAAACGTGTCACTGCCACGCGAGCATGGCTGATGTGCAGGCTCCTGGCAGCTCACATGCTGGTGCTATGCTGGTCGCAGGGCAACTGGGGAAGGCAAACCCCTGACTGGGAGAGACATCCAGCTGAGAGCTGCTTCTGCTGGGATACAGCTGCATGCACATCTCAGCCTCACTTTGCAGCAGCATGGAGGGATTACTACACTCTATTCCCAGCAACCACCCGAGGATCAGAAACACCCCTATGATTTCCACTTTTTCTCTCCCACACACCCTCCCCCCTGACTGCTATTTTCCTGGATGCTGATGCTACTTGAAGTTGATGGAGCGTTTTGCTGGCTGCTGAGCAGAGTAAATCCTGGTCCTGGCAGTGGGAATATTAATTGTAAGCTGGCTGCCAGAGCCAGAAGAGCCAAGCAGCTTACAGTCTCTTAATTAAAGGCCCATAGTTGTGCAGGACGTGATGGAGAGCCGAGTGGGCCAAGCCTTGCGAGTCCATCTAGCAGTCTCACGTGGTGCCAGATGCAGTTGAGTGCATCCCAGTGTCATCTCTACCACCTTACTGATGGAGGGAGCAAGGTACCATTTATTACAGATGATGACTTTTAATTAAATCATGCTCTAAGCATATTTGAAAAGCACTTTGAAGTTATAGGGAACAGAAAACGTCAAGGGCAGATGGGGCCATCTTAGGCCAATCCTGAGCAGCTGTCTGACACATGGGAGGGCTGCTTGACATGACTTTTCTGTCATGGATGCTTTCTCCCCTTCTGGATAACTGCTGGATGTGTCTTGGAGGCCAACCAGGTGACAGTGTGCTGCCTTCAGCTGGACTGGGATTGCTTGGCAGATGCAACCCCCTCTTCATCCCTCCCCCAAATCTACTTCTGCAGAGCAAACCTCATGCCCCAGTGCGCTGCCCTGCATCCATCCATCCCACTGCATCCATACATACCACTGTCACAGTGCAGAGCTCCTGCAGCATCCGCTGCTGCTGCTCCTGGCTGCCAAAATTGGAGCTACCATCGCAAAGCTCAGAGCAGTTGAATCCCGGCTCCATAGCACATCCTCAGTCGTCATCCAGCTGTACCTTTGCCCTGCTGGAAGGACGAGCGTTGGCTTTCTCCACCGAGAAGAAACCTTCGGCACACACCACATCCTCCCTGTCAGCAGGGAAGGGTCTGATGACAGCCCAGGGCTGAGCTTACCCAAAGTGATGTGATGCACATCCAGAGCCAGGACAGGGAGTGCCCCCTGCCAGTGTCCCTCGGGGTGTCCTCTGCAGCAAGGAGAGTCAGCTCGGGACCTGGGCTCACACAGAGCACGGTGGCATCTCCAGCACTGCTACACCACCCTGCAAAACAACACCTGTGGAGGATCACAGTGGCCCCAGCCCCTAAATCCCAGCTGGGAGCTCACATGAAGTGCTGTTCTGGTCCAAGAAGGAGCATGGTACCCTGGCACTCTGAACCCACTGCATCTTTCCTTTGCCAATGCATTTTCCTGGAATTGCACTGGAGCAATTTCAGGGTCATTTTGCAAGTACTCTCCTTGTGCTGGCAGTGACTGCTGGTTTCATGGAACATCCCTTTCTTCCAGCAAAGAACCAGTGAGTGAAGACAACAACAAACAGCAACAAGTGTTGCCAGAGCTTAACAGGACCTACACCCAGGCCTGGGTGAGCAGAGGGGAAGGTGCTTGAACCCACTGTTTTGGCTGACTCGGCCTGAGGTGGAGCCTGGCTACCTGAAGAGCTGGCTGTTTATTAAGGAGATTTAGAAGCCTGACACCTCTGTGTTCCCCCGTCCCTCCTGGTGCTCTGGCTGCCAGGTATTGTCCCTGCCTGCTTCTGCTCCCTTTGCATCACCTTTGCCTCTGTTCTCCCTTTAATTTCTCTTTTTGGTGTGGATTTTAATAGGCCTCATTACCATTTTAGACATGAGGTCATACTTATCCTCAAGCATCCTTACTCAATTACCATTGTCACCAGCTTTCATTAGCTTCCAGTGCACGACCATGAGCAAGTCTCCCGTCGTTAGCAGCTGGGGAGGAGGCGCAATAACTCGCTCCCTATTTGCTCCTAACAACAGGTGGGAGGAAAAAAATTATGTCTATCATGATCCTCAGGGCTGTTCCCTAGCTGAGCATCCCCCATGCCTGGCTGGTGCTCCATCCCTCCCTGTTGCTACTCCTGACGCTTTGATGCCCTCTCCTTCCAAGTCCTTTCTTTGGAAAAAACTCCTGTCATTATGCGAGCAAAGAAAGAGTAAATTAAAAAGAAGTATGGTCATCAGGACCTGGTCTGAAACTGGATGTTTGCCACAGGGCATAATTGAGATTCAAATGCCAGAAAAGCTACAGTTGTTCTCAGCTCGAGTGTAGACTGATTTTTTGGCTTTAGAGTAGTTGCTTACAAGTCCCAGCGCAAGCATATCAAGGTAAGTGGGCTACTTGTCCAAAATTAGCAGACCCACCTCTGAAGCAATAACCCCAGCTCTCCTGCTGGCAGAAGCCTTCATGTACTGCAGGTCCAGGCACTGTCCTGCCCCTGCCAGAACTTTTCCCAGTGTGTGATCAGCGTGCTGTGTCCTACAAACACAGTATCACACAGACTGAAGATTTTACACATATGGTGGGTAAAGACATGGTTTTCAAGAGTGCTGAAGCCACCCAGCTCCATCAAGCCTCCTTCTCTCTAGCAAACCATGACGGTGTTTCCCCTCTCCAACAGGATCATCCTCTGGGAGTTTTCACACCTTCCCCATAGCTCAGGCTAAGTGACTGGAAAAGACTCATGGCTGTAGGAGATATCCAGCTGCTGCAGTGAATGCCAGGATTGCTACAATGCCGGAAGTGCAGTGGCGAGGAGATGACAGGCTCCAGCTGAACAATTCAGAGACCAATGGACAGTGTGGAGGGACTGGGTGGGGATGGGGGTAGGAGAGGGGCACTAATCCTTTGATGCTGAGAACGTGAGCAGTGCCCAGCCTCCAAGGGGCTCAGCTCCTCCCCAAGCCCCCAGGTGGGTTTAAAGAAAAAAGCCCCTATAATTCTTTGTAACCTTCTGTCACGTCGGAGGGGGAACACACCCGGCAGGTGGAACACTACGACGGCTGGCATGAGGCCAGCAGGCATAGCCTTCCTGTGGCTCACAAGGAACACCAGTTCAGCCCTCACCCACCCGGGAGGCCACCCCTTGGAGGAGGGCAGAAACCCCTCGGGGGTCTCCCCAACTCCCACCCCTGCATTCTGCAAATGGCTCCCACACAATGTTGGTAACAAGCTGAGGCCATTAGTGTTCATTAGTATGCAACAAAGCAAGCACCAGGGCAGCTGTTGCTGAAAGGCAACAGGCATTTCCAGTCCAGCTCCTGTTTCTTGTGAGAGTTGGCAGGAATGCTTCTCCATAGTCTGGAGAGGATCCAAGGGGGACACACACTCTGGGGGATCACTGACCTTCAGGGTGAGGCCAGGCAATCGTTGTCAGAACAGCAACACAGGTAAAACCTCACATCCTTAAATGTAAGGGTTGAAAACAGAGATGTGGGGTTTGGTTTTTTGGGGGTGTTTTTAAGACCAAAATGCCAACAGTTCTGACAGATCACTTCCAGACCAGAATCGCAGAATGACTTGGGTTGGAAGCGACTCAACAGCTCTGTTTGCCTTGCTCTCCCCTTGCCGCCCTTGGTCTCTGTGGCCTTGTACCTGCTAGCTGTCTGGGACATGGTGAAGAGTATTTGGCCACAAAGGAGCATCGGCTTGCACACAGACATAATCCAAAAAGCCAAAAGTCAATAGGAAACAAGTGACTGGACCACAAGAAAATACTAGCATCACCATCTTGTAAGATAAAAGGGAAGCACTGACTGTTAAAACCCGTATTTGGATAAAAGCAATTCGTGGTCATCTCAAAGGTTGATCTCTAGGCCTGGAAAACCGGTTTCCTTAGATCTGTTGAGACCCAGGAATACTTAGCATAAAATCATTTAGGTTGGAAAAGAGCTCTTAGATCATCAAGTCCAACAATTAACCCAGCACTACCAACCCCTCCACTAAACCATGTCCTTAAGCATGACATCTACATGTTTGTTGAACACTTCCAGGGAGAGATACAGAATCATAGAATCACTAAGGTTGGAAAATACCTCTAAGATCACCAAGTCAAATATCTAGCAATGCTGAGTAACTGTAGACTAGCGCATAAATAGTCCTCAAAATAGATGCAGTAGATGTCATCTAAATGTACCTCTTGACTCTGTCAAAGTTTCTTCTTCCCTTTCAAAACATTTCTTTTGGAAAAAAAGAGGAAAAAAGCCTTTAAAGAAGCTGAAAAATTGGCACACCATGTATAGACTCAGAGCAGACAGAATGAACTTTTTACCCCAACTGGTTCATTTTGATGTAGTGTTGAAAGAGAAGCTTCTTCCCAAAGATGACATCACTGCTCGGCGAATCAAAAGGTGGAAAACCGAAGATGTCAAATCACAGACAACAGGACAATCGCATTCAGAAATGTGCCAGTCTTCATGAGCTCTGCCATCCTGTCTTGTCACACCAGCCCTGATAGAGAAATGGTACATACACACCTCTGCAAGGAGCACATCTGGAGAAACATCTGCTCAGAAGAACTTTTGGGAAGGTGGCTGTGTGGCCAGAGGCAGAGAAGAACAGCTGGGTAGAAGGAGCAATATGCAAAGGGAAGAGCCATTCCTGCTGCCTCAGGAGGGGAGCAGGCAACCTCGGTCTGATGCTGCCAGTTCTGATGGGAGATGGAGATCTGCTCGTATGGAGCAGCCTCAGCTGACAGGATGCTGCATACTGACAGCAGAAAATGATCCAGATAACTCTTCTGGCAGCACGAACACCACGGGATGGGGTTTTGCAATGCAGAAATCTGGCGCTTCTGAGATAGGCTCCTGCTTTTTCCTTCTGCTCTTCTTGTCCAACAAGATCCCTTCTTGTTTCACCTGAGAAACCTGTAATATTGCCATCCCCAAGGCGATCAAAAAAAGTCACAAGCCAGACTTACTGCAACACCCCCCGTGATGAAGCTACTTAAAAACTGTGAGTTAAAACACACAGCCTATCTGACGATTATTTTTAATTTATATTTAAAACTTCAGCACCTACATTTTCATGCTTTCCCTTGCAAACACAAAAGGAAAAAGAAAGAAAACCAAGAAACCCTCCTTAACATATAATCTTAAAATCTGGGTTACAAAGGCTCAATCCCCAGGAACACTGGGGAGCTACAAAGTTGTCACCCTTCTTCTCAGTGACTGTCTTGTGCTTGTGCTTTGTTCAGCTCCTGTCCCTGGGATTTCCAGAGCCACTTCCAGGCCCCTCAGATATCTTCACATAGACAGGAAGCTCAGTGAGGATAACCACCAGGAGCTGCAAGACCTGCTGCACACAAAGGAGGGAGATGCAGGACAAGATGCTTCTGACTCTGCATACGTGGGGAGCTTGCGGTGTGACTGAAGCTAGGTGTGATTTTCAAGCCTCCTACCATTTTGGAAAGCATGTCCCAATATCATGAAGGCAATAACTTCTGAATGTTGATCTTACTGCTTGTCTGTCCGCTGTAGCTCCCTCAGCAGGAAGTTGGCACATTTAGCTCTGCCTCTAGACTTCTTAAGTGCAGGTTGAATAGCCACATGGCTTTTTCAGTTCTGTGGTTTACATTTTGAATTAAAGAAACCTCCATCAAAAAAAAACCAAAAAAACCCCAAAAAACCAAAACAAAAAAACCAAACCAAACCAAACCAACCAACCAACCAAAAAATAAAAAAAAACCCACATTACTTTTTTTGAACCACTGCACAGTCCTGTGAGGAGCTGACTCACATTTCTCCCACTATGGAGCTGATAAGGCTTTCAACTCAGGCACGTAAGAAACAGACAGAATTGATTTGAGATGCTCAAAGGAAGAAAAATTAGGAAGGAATACCAAGAGGCATAGGGAGCATGCCACAGATGAGGCCAATATGACCAGAGCTGATGGGGAGGCAAACCAAATCCTTGGAGCTGCCAAGGAGCGACTTCATGCCACCCGAAGATCTGAGCCCTCTCTTGTGTCCAGCACACGGATGAAACGAGCAGAAACCTCCAGGTTTCTGCCTCCCCAAAGTAGCTGGGAGTCCAGGGGTCGGGATCCCACTGCGCCTTGTGCTGAGCTCATCCCTGCTTGGCCAGGTGGCCTGGCAGGCTCCTCACACAGAGCCAAGCAACAGCAGGAAACAGCGAGAAAAGTCCTTCCAGCCGAATTTCATTGATGCCATGGTACCCTCAGGTGGAAGCTCACTTTCCTGCAGCCAGCGAGAGAGGTAGTGGGGTCTCTGTTGCGAGACAGTAGCCTCACCACTTGGGGCCAAGGAGGGCACAGCTGCCTCCCCCAGAAACAGGCAGGGGACATACCCCAGGCACCACTCTGAGAAGGAGCAGTGCTGTTCCCATGCCGTCCCCATGCTCAAGCCTCTACCCACAGCTGGGCGCTGGGGTGCATAATGCCCCAGCAGCTGTGCTGCATGGACAGGAAGGACACGCAGAGGCCTTTCACCACTTTGGGAAAAATCCTGGGTTTTCATTACACCGTAACAACTTCATCAATAATTTCATTTATTAGTGTGAGACCACACCTGTAGATGTTGTTTGCCTCCATGGGACAACCTTCCTGCTCATTCCCAAGCCCTGGGTCAGGAAAGGTTCCATCCCATGTGCTGAGCATGTGGCAGATGACCTGCAAGTGGGATGGCAGGGGCTGCCTCTCCAGAAACACACAGCCAATTTCATGGTGCACTGCACCTTCACCATGAAGAGGCAGAAATGGCCAGGGCTACAAGGCCAAACTGCGTGGCAACCATGCCCCATGCTCACAGAAACACAGCTCCTGCCTGCCACACTGCCAGGCACAGCCGAAGAGATGATGGTGGTGTGTAAATATCTCCAAGCATCTGCTTCACAATTTGCCCTGGTAGTTGCTGCAGGCAAACCATGAGCCCCTCCCCCGTCTGTCAGGCTGGTTAATCCTGAATCCCTGCCACAGATCACACTCACATCTCTGCCCCAGAGAGGCTGGCACCTTGTCACAGGACAAGGAGGCTGCAGGACTCCACTGTGGCTGTGTGACACATATTTTTCCACCAGGATGCTGATTCAAGGTGCTGTGACTGGTGCAGTATTACCAGGTCTCAGGGCTCTGTGCCCATTCCTGGTGCCTCTGTTGCCTTTATACCTGCTCCCATCCATCTACATGCATGACCTAACTCAGATGTCTTTTCCCAGGCCATTCCCATCAAACACTGCTATTTTCTCCTTCGGGCATGTGCCCCAATATGCTGCTCTGAGGCATAGCTCAGCCTCAAGCACCATTGCTGGAGGCTTCAATATCCCTTCCTTCCATCAGTTCGCTCTGCCTTCGGGGTGTTAGCATCAGCCTAACAAACAGGAACATGCTAAACAGCCTTACAGGAAGGTGTAACCTGCGATTTTTTTCTGTCTTAACTGTACCATCTTTAGAGAGCCACCATGAATAAGAGGTAAAAAAGCCTGATGATTTAGAATTTTGATTTACAAGGGAGATCTACCTTGTGGTTGTGGTGTGTATGACTTAATTAAAAGCAGAAGCTCACCTCCACTGAAGCTGTTTGCTGCCGAGCTATCAAATGCAGAGGAGGAAGAGACATCAGAAGGAATATTTCCATAAAGTTATATTTCACATTAAGCAAATGCCTTCAATAGCTGGCAGAAAGTTTCAGCTGCTCCTTCATGCAATTATACACCATCCCCTCACAGCCCTTGCAGCACCAGCACACCTGTGTTTTCACAAAGCGCTAGGATGGCCAGGCTGCAAAACCACACAGCCCCCCCAAGCACGGGGAGAGCTTCTAGCCCCAACAAGGTCAGCATGTTTGTTCTCTAATTAACTTTTTTCTTTCAAATTTGGCAGGATTTTGGAAATCAAGTGACACATTTCGTCCTTAAAGAGGCAGAAAAACAGAGCACTACAGTTATTTCACCTTACCCCTGATGACTAAGCAGCAGGGAATATTTTCCACTAGGAGACAGATTTGACTTAAGGGTGTTGAAGCCAGAGATGTCCACGGCTCCTCTGGCTCCCCTCCCGAGTACCACAGCCTGCCAAAGTGCACCCAGTGCTGCCCTGCTCAGGCTTCTAGTCTCTCTGCTGGGCAAAACAAGCCCCCACCAAGGGGCAGGGTGACATCAAGGTTTCCACGAGGTCTGCCAGCCTGGCTCCCTACAGACAGCAGTGAGGCACAACCAAACCCATGTGGAAAGTGCCACTTTTAAACTGTGTCAGCAGAGTTCGCAGGAAGAGCGGAGCATGCAGTGCCCTGCCACCAGGTGGGTGAGGGGATGTGGCAGCTGCGCCAGTGCCGCATTAGAAATGCCAGTTGGAACTCAACACTGGCAGCTGCCGGTTACCCGGGATCGGGTTCCCTTGGCCTCCTCCCTGCCCCCCTGAGGATGCAGTGCACCTGTGGGGCAGCGGAAAATCCAGCCCTGGGTCCATGAGCCACCCCTCCCTGAGAGGTGACCAAGTCCCTGGGAGTTGTGTCATGCTCAACTCTGGCAGCCAAGGAGAAGCAAACAGGCTGGGTCCTGGAGTGCTTCCTGGGGGGGTGGTCGGGTCTCACCCCTTAGCAGCTCTGTGAATCCAGGGCACACGGGTCCCTCTCTCCCTCTCCACCCACGTTGCTGCACTGTGGAGTTGGTTGCAACTTTTCTTCTCCCCATTTTGAACTCCAGAAGGCACACGGCTCGCCCGGGTAACAGCAGTTTGGTTAGCACAAACCGACCTAGTGCTCAGCTTCGCATCTTTGCATCCGGGAAGGCAGCCCTTTCCCATCACCAGGTGCCAGCAGACTCCTGCTTCCCACAGGCGCCTTCCGAGGGCTGCTTGGAACCTTCGGGACGGTGTTATCTTAAGAACACCGGCCCAAGCCGCCCCGTTTCGAGCTCAGGGGTGCACTCCGGGCACAGCCAAGCCAGCGAAGGGCGAACGAGAAGCTCTGCATCTCCCAAAAGCGCGCCCAGAGCACAGCTCTATGCCGCAGGGCGGGAGCGCTCGGGGGCTGCCAGCCCATCCCGCGGCCTCGCCGCGCTGGGGTCCGGCCGGCTGCACCCGCGGCATCCCGCAGGCTGTGGGGAAAGGGGCAGGGGAGTAAAATCACCAAAGCGAACAGCGCCAGGGCACGAAAGCAACTCGGAGGGTAACCCTGGGTGCTCTCGTCTCAGCCGTCTCGCTCGCAGCTCCAAACACGGCTACCGCCCCCTCTCTCCCCACACCTCGCCCGGCGGAGACCCCGACCCACCTGCGGGGACGGCATCAGTACCCAGGGTGTCAACCTGCGGGAGCCCGACAGGAGCGGCACAGCCGAGGCGCGAGCAGCCCCGCAGCAACCTCGGGACGCGCCGCTCAGCGCCGCCGGCCGCACCTCAGCGCCCCGGCCCGGCCCAGCCCGGCGGAGGCGGGCGGCGGGAGGGGCCCGGGCGGCCGCGCTCCTCCCGCCGGGACCGTGGCGCCGACCCCGCTCCCGTCTGACCCGGGACGAAAGTTTTCGGTAGCGGGGAAAAAGCCGGGGGGCCGGGGCTGTCTTGGCAGATCTGGACCCCGTTTCACGCCGGCACCTCCTCCAGACAAGGGCAGCATCAAACCCTCCCCAGAACACCCCCGGAGCCGGGAGAGCGGGACCCCCCGGCACAGCTCCCCGGCTGACCTGGCCCCGCCGCCGCAGCCCGAGCTCATCTCCGGCCTCTATCCCACTGCTGCCGGTGGGATGCGCCTGGCTGAGAACGGGCCGCTTCGCTCGGGTGCTCCTGGCAGCTGAGGCAGCACAAAGCCCCACGTCTGTGGCAAAACCGGCCCGAGAAGGTGAGGACACGCGAGAGTGACCAACCTCGTGCTCCGTGACCTGCTTGTGCTGCCCCATGGCTAGTGGTAGCGTGACTACTGCAATAGGTATGTTTGTGTGAGCAGCACTCGGTGTCTTGTGGACAGACCCACCGTCACTCTCAGCATCCCCGTACTGGCCGTTTCACTCTCTTGCCTCCCACGGTCCTGCAGCTCGCTCGCATAAACTTCGTGCTCTCTCCCCTCAAGACATCCACTTCATTTTACTGGAAGTTTTCCCCAGCTCTGAGAGCCAAAAGCTCTGCTCCAGCACCGTAGTTTCTCTCCCAGCCTGCAGCAAAGTCCCAGGTGCTGCTGGAAAGGGCTCTTTGCAGGCAAGTGTAAGGCCGTGCAAGTTTTCTCTCTTTCCACGGTTCTGTTTACCTCATTTACTCAACTCTGCTAGCCTTGGCATGAACAATGCTAATTTTTCACTCCTGCCCATTTCCAGACCTGCAGAGCCAAGGACCAGGGGCAGCTGTGGTCTGAATGGGAGCAGAGGGGTTTGCACACCACTGTTGGTAATGCTGTGCCCCACAGCACTGTTGGCAATACACAGTAATGTGTTACTTCCCAAGCCTGGTAAAAGCATCCAGTTTGCACCCTCTGGTTCTGGCAGCAGCTCCCACTCCCCTTTACTAGATTTGACTGATGTCACAGAGGACAACCTTTTCCCATCCTCCTCTGAGGCAAAACAGAGGCTCGTACCTTGCCCAAGGAGTCCAATACCACTCTCCAGAAAGTGTTTTCTAGCCTGGCCAGTGATGGGCGATGAAGGCTCAGTGAGGCCAAAGGTCACATCCAGAGCAGGTGAAGGAGGTTGGAGCCTTGTTACTGTCATGTACAAAGTAGAATGAAAAAGCCCCTTGGAATGCCTTGGGAGACCAAGGTCCAGCGATTTAAAAGATGGAGACCATGGATTAATTCTGAATTTTGGCACTGAAAGCAGCCCTTCAGTTTGCAGAGGTGCAGATTATCTGCAGCTTACAGTGGCTGTAACAAAGGTCCCCATGTTTCAGTATCTCTGGAAATATGATCTCTTTTAAATGCAGGCTCTTAGACTGAACCTAACAATCTGGTCTCTGCCTCCATAAAACCAGGACCATAAGTAGAAACATCTCTCAGCAGGAAGTAAGGGAAGAGGAGTGAGACCCTGACTGTTCACACAGGAACAGGAGTGAAGTGCCCTTTTTTGGCTCCTCCCAAAGCTAGCAGAGAGCACTGCTGTTGCCCCATTGATTCATGCTTATTACTAAGCACTTTGTAAACTGTGATGAGAAATAGCTGCTTTGTGTGTGCTTCAGTTTTGCTCCTGGGTTTTGCTCTAAAAAAAAATAAAAAAAATAAAAATATATATATAAAGATATAATTTAAAAAATTGAAGCTGTGGGGGTATGAACTGTTACAAATATGTGGATATGCATCGCCTCTTATTCCTCACCCAGCAGAAGTGGGAACACAACTTCAGCTCAGTGAGCTCTGCAGCCCTACAACAGCTGGGACATCCTTCTGGGTATCGCTTGGCATTGTCAGAAAACATGCAGCCAGGATGTTGGGGAGTCCGGGAAAAATGCCTGGGTGTTTTGTCTGGAGGCAGGAAAGTGCCTGCTGCACTACAGAAGGATTTGCTGCCAAGCAGGAAGGAATGGAGGTCTGCAAAGGCACAAGTGAACAGAAAGCCCATAGTTAAGGTGAATTGTGTTACAAACTCTGCAGGGACGAGGCCCCTGTTGTGCCAAAGGGCCCTGCTGTGCTTAAAGCGCGGTCAGTAACCCCGTGTTGGGAACACATCACCCCATGCTAGAGAATAATGAGTCCAGCAGCAGCATGGTTCAGCCCGAGGCTGGATCCTAGGAAGGGAAAGCAAAAGCTGAACTCATTTTAAACTGCCAGGGGAGGCAGGATGCAATTTTCACCATCCATCTTCCATGTCTTTTCTCAGTCCTTGCTCTTTTTTAAACATCCTGTTGAAGAGTTGGATTGCAAGAGCTCCCCGGAGGAGTTCAGTATCCATCACAACACTGCCTGATAAGAAGGATAAACCACTCGCTTATGCCTCTTCACTCCTGCCCTGGCTCTTCATTCTTAGCACCTTGTTCATCCTGCATGGAGCTACTTACATGTTACAGCTGCTGGAGCCTTTGTGGGAGTCGTGATTACCTGGGACACAGCACCTCATTTTGGAGGTCTGGCCCATGTCATGCTCCAAGACATACACAACGGTTGGATACTTGTTTCAAGTTTACTGTTGAAAAAAGGGGGCTTGGAGTTGATTTTGTGGACTGAGACCCCCCCCCCCCCCGCTTGCCAGTCATTAGCAATAACACTTCTCTTCTGGGGTCTGGCTCAGGGTTTTAGCCCATTTAACACTTATGCTTTGTCCATCCTCAAGGGTTCACGCCCAACCAGGGTGTCACACAGAACTATTGAAAATAGCCTCTACTTAACTGCGGCTTTTGGTCATCTGCTAAGCTCTTCTTAAGCAACTCACACTGCAGTCAAATTTCAATAGATTTGTCCCAAGTCTTCTTTAGAATTAATTGCATTCGGTTTTTGGTTCATCTTGGGGAAAATTAGTGTCTTGGAAAAGCCAAATTCATATATGACTACCTATGATTGTCCTGACTTTGCTCAAGTCCATTGCAACTGCTTGGTTCCACTTCTCTACCCATCATGATGAATCTAAAAGGGATACCAGGGATGAACACATCCTCTGCTGAGAAATTATCCTCCAGCACACTTAGAAACTCTCATGAGACTTGACTGTGGCCTGTAGGCAATCTCCACAGATGTGTCCCAGAATTAAATTACCTATGCAAACACAGTTTTCTTTTCACACATTGCAAATGAACCTGTAGAGAGAGATCTGTGCTGGGCCTCGTTTGATGAGGCAGTCAGGTACACACAGGCTTGCACATAGTGCTCCCTGTTGGGCTTTCCTGATCTACATAATCTGCTCTGAGTCCCCGCTGTAGAATGGGTAATGTTGCCAATAGCATGAAGCACCACCCTTCTCTCTTTCATGCACTCTCTCCTTTCTCAGCATATGGCAGCTAGCAGTTGTAACATCCCCCTTAAAAAAAGCATGTTGCCACACTTAAGCAATACCGGTTTTGTCCGATTCATTCATAAAAGGGAAGCTTCTTCACATTTTCCTCTTACAAAGTTTTCTATTTGAGAGTTTAAACAACGGATTATTTTCTTCTCACATACCCACTTAGTCCATGGGCGGAAATTAAGTTTTACACATTTGAAGGTTCATTAAAGCCATCCTGCCTTTCCCAGCCCATTTCCAGGCTATGAGGTTGGGCACTGGACTTTTGACAAGAAGCCATCCAGAGAACCCACCCACAAGAACCAGGGCTAAGTGCCCCACACAGTGAAGCCTCTCAGCAAACACCAGCCACTTGTTCGACCATCAGGAGTTTCTATTCTCTTCTCCAGCTCTCAGGAGCAGGACCTTGGACATTTTTCTACTTTCCTGAGATTTTCTGAAGGCTTGAACAATCCTTTGCTATTCCCACACCATCTTGTTGGCTTTCTGATGCTTTCCAAACAATCTCTTCTCAACTTTTCTTTATTCCCCTTGACAGAAGTTCCCCATTATAACAACTTACCTTGATAAGGTAACTGGGAACATGTGTGGATTATTCTTACACAAAAAACTGCCCTCAGGGCGGTTCTCACTGCTCACTCTGTTCCTCCCAATACATCCTGGAAGACTGTCCATTCAGGAATAGTTAGGTGCAGCAGAGGATGAGTATGAACTGGATCACATTCCCTTTAATGCCCATTTTCCATGGCTCTGTGAACTGCTTTAAGATAACTTTGTAACTCACTTGGACCACAGAAAATTTTGATCCCAGTTAGGGCCTCTCAATCCAGAGCAAGTTAAAAAACCTTCCTTTGTAGTACAAGGCTCTGCATCTTCCCAGACTTGAAACAGTCTCTCCAAAAGATGATCTTTGTATGGTTGATGTGGACCCCACTATTGCCAAGATCTTAGGAGTGACCCAGGTGGAAAAAGAAATAGGAAAGAGTGTGGGAAACCAGAGGGATCAAGAATATAGTGGAAGAAAAGCACCATGTGAAGAAAAGTGACATGTGACGCACATCCCCTTGTAGCAGAAGCTATACCACTTTGAACTTGTCTAGGGCAGGAAGATCAGCTCCAGCGTGGTTTCCACCATGCTTAGAACTGTAGCTCACTCCCACCTGTGAAAACTGGTTTGTTAGCAACACCCTGCTCATTCTGCCTGTCTCTTATGCAAAGTAAGGCTAATCCCAGGATCACCTGACAGGGGGCCAGGTCAGAAAGTCACAGAGGGCTTGGGCTTGAGACATGACCTCCTTCAAGCTGCCATTTGGCAGCTCTCTGTAAAAGCGGAGCTGGTGCTCACTACTGGAAGAAAGGTTGGTCTGCTTCAACTCTCCCTAATCCTTTCTGCTCCATCCATGAAGCCAATCTGTAGGGTGTTAGAAACTCTCTGTGTGAAGACTTTTTGCATCCTGCCAGTGGCAATGCTGGATGGGGACCAGCTGGATGGAGAAAACCCTCAGTCAGTCTGTTGGATGTGGGAGAAAGGCTGACAACCTTTTGTAAGTTGGTTTCCCACATGCTTTCTAATTATTGTTTTTTCGGGGGGATAGCATCAAGGGGAAAACATGAGGTTATGAATTAGGTACTGTGGCAAGGAAAAGAGAGCCAGGGTAGAGCTTCTGAGAAAGCAGCAGGATGATCCTATGCCGCAGTGTGTAGCCAGAGTGTGTGGGAATCAAGTGAGGCTGTGACAAAGCTTTCTGGTGGAGGAGGCACCAAGCAGCTCTCGGGCTCTGACGAACAAGGATGTTCATACAGATTTGGTCTTGGGACTCAGAGACAAATGGCCTCATATTTGATGGGATCCTTTCCAAACAGTTGGGACCATTGCTCCAAAT